GGTTATCAGGGCTTGCTTTTCATCCGACTCAGCCGTTATTGGCCGCTGCGCTGCACAATGGAAGTGTGCAGTTGTGGAATTACCGCATGGGTGTCTTGGTGGACAGATTTGAAGAACACGAAGGTGCGCATCCCGTGCAGCATCTACCAGCGAACTGCGCTTATCTTGCCAACAGGACCTGTGAGAGGCGTTGCTATTCATCCGAGCCGGGCTCTGCTAGTGACCGGAGGGGATGACTACAAAATCAAAGTCTGGGGTTAGTCCAATCAGCATGCCTTCAGGACCCTGTAGCTAACAAGTAAACCAGATATCCGACCTCAAAACAGACGCTGCCTTTTCACTCTCCACGGCCATCTAGATTATGTCCGTACCGTGCAGTTCCACCATGAAATGCCCTGGATCGTGAGTTGCTATCAATCTGATATCTGCTTGACGTCCTACCCTCTACCCACAGATTTCCTGCTCTGACGACCAAACGATCCGCATCTGGAACAGCACCTCGCGTAATTGCATCGCAGTACTCACCGGCCACTCACACTACGTCATGTCCGCCCAGTTCCACCCCAAGGAGGACCTTGTCGTCTCCGCGTCGATGGACCAAACTGTCCGGGTATGGGACATCTCGGGCCTCCGCAAAGGTTCACCCAACTCCGGCGGTGGCCCCGGTGGTCACGCAGGCGGCGGAAGCGGCGGCCCAGGTACCTTCGAAACCTTCGACTCATTTTCGACCGTCAAGTACGTTCTCGAAGGCCATGACCGCGGCGTTAACTATGCCATGTTCCACCCCACCCTCCCCCTTATTATCTCTGCCGCCGACGATCGCGTCATCAAGATCTGGCGCATGAGTGAGACGAAGGCATGGGAGGTTGACTCATGTCGCGGACATTTCAACAATGTTTCCAATGCACTCTTCCATCCTAAGCATGAGCTTATCGTGTCTTGTGGTGAAGACAAGACTGTCCGTGTTTGGGACCTTGCCAAGCGTACTGCGATTCAGACATTCAGGCGCGAGCACGACCGTTTCTGGATCCTCGCGGCGCACCCGAACCTCAATCTCTTCGCGGCGGGTCACGACTCCGGTCTCATCGTGTTTAAACTCGAGCGCGAGCGCCCTGCTTTCTCCGTCCACCAAGACACACTCTACTACGTGCGCGACAAATATGTGCGGTCATATGACTTCAACACAGGTGCGGATATCGGGCTGCTTAGCGTGCGCAAATTCGGGAGCCCATACGTCCCCCCGCGCACATTGAGCTTCAACCCCGCTGAACGGGCAGTGATCTTGACCATCAGCTCGGACAATGGACTTTACGAGTTGACGAGTCTACCGCAGCAGGCGCAGGGGGATGTGAAGGACTCGAGTGTCGATGGTAAGAAGGGCAATGGGCAGAGTGCGATCTTCGTCGCGAGGAACAGATTCGCGGTCCTGAACAAGGCGACTCAGGTATGCTCCGATTTGTACATTGTGAGGCGCTCACGTTGATGGTTGCGTGGGATAGATCATTGAAGTCCGGGACCTTGCCAACTCCGTGGTCAAAACGATCAAACCCCCTGTACAGACGAACGAAATCTTCTATGGCGGGACGGCCAGCTTAATTCTCAGCTCGACTACCTCGGTCGTCCTCTATGACATTCAGCAGCAAAAGACTATCGCAGAGCTCAACAGCCCTCCCGTTAAATACGTTATCTGGAGCGGCGATGGCGCCCTAGTTGCTTTGATGAGCAAGCATAGTATGTTCACATTCTTACTTTCAAATTGGGTTGGACCTCACATGTCGATGTAGCCATCACAATCGCAAATAAGACGTTCTCGACCAGCAGCCTTGTTCACGAGACGATCCGCATCAAGTCTGGAGCATGGGACGATTCAGGCGTATTCATCTACTCCACCCTCAACCACGTCAAATACTGTCTTCCTCAAGGGTACACCAGCTCTAAAATCGTTCTTCATGTCACTTACCCTCATCGTCAGCGACCACGGCGTGATCTGCACCCTCGACAACCCTGTCTACCTCACCCGCGTGAAGGGCAAAACTGTTCACTGCCTTGACCGTTCTGCCCGCCCCCGTACCATCACCTTCGATCCGACAGAGTACCGTTTCAAGCTCGCACTACTCCGCAACAACTACGAGGAAATGTTGTACATCATCCGGACCTCGACTCTCCTTGGCCAGAGCATCATCGCATACCTACAGCAGAAAGGATTCCCCGAGGTGAGTGATCTTGTGTTGATTACATTGATTGGACTTGTCCTCACTGCCTTATCGACAGATTGCATTGCATTTCGTGCAAGATACCAACACGCGATTTGAGCTCGCGATTGAATGTGGGAACTTGGATGTGGCGATGGAGACCGCAAAGGAAATTGATCGTGCAGAGTGCTGGGAAAGGCTGGCGCAGCAGGCGCTGAAGCAGGGCAACCACAAGGTCAGTACACCAACAAAATTCTATCTTGGTCATCTAGGTCAACGAATGCAACTTCAGATTGTCGAGAAGGCATATCAACAGACGAAGAATTTCGACAAACTTTCGTTTTTATACCTCGCAACAGGAAGCACAGACAAGTTGTCGAAGATGCAGAAGATCGCCGATGCCCGTGGTGACCCCATGTCCCGGTTCCACAACGCCCTTTATGCTGGTGATGTGCAGGGGAGAATATCCGTCATGCGGGATGTGGGACTGTGTAAGCATCCTGTGCCATCTAATCATGCCCTGTAACGCGGTCTAATCTTCCCACTTCAGACCCTCTCGCCTATCTTACGGCCAAAACCAACGGCTTGGATGAGGTGGCTGAGGAGATCCTGGAAGCTGCTGGACTGACTGAAGCAGACATCGACGACGTCCCAACCTTCGCCGCATCGAGCCTGAAGCCGCCGCCCATCGTGACTCCCGCGACTAATCTGAACTGGCCCTCTCTCCCCGCAGCCGAGAACTTCTTCGATCGGGCCCTGGCAGATGGAAACCTCGAGGGCGGCGTCGAGCCTGCATATGTCAATGGTGACGCGGCGGCGGGCGCAGCCACGTCGGCGCTGGACGCATGGGCGAGGGATGAGGAGATCCATGAGGAGATTAATCCTGAGGAGGGTGGTTGGGAGCTCGAAGTAGAGGGAGACGACTTTGCGGACTCGGCCCCAGCTGAGGAGCTTGTTGATGAGGAGGAAGAGTTGGGCGCTGGGGCGACGCCTGGGGTCAGTGAGACGGAGCTCTGGGTCCGAAATTCGCCATTGGCGGCCGATCATGTTGCTGCTGGATCGTTTGAGACAGCCATGCAGGTGAGGGTCTCTGATTGTGAATGGTGAACGATGACCAAAGCTTCATTTTTCTCCGTCCAGCTTCTCAACCGTCAATTTGGTATTATCAACTTTGCCCTCCTCAAGCCCACCTTCATCTCCACGTACCGTTCTTCGCATACATACCTGACACCAGTCGCCTCCTTGCCGCCATTGCACCTTCATGTGCGGCGCAACCCCACCGAATCAGCGCCCAGTCGCGTTCTTCCTGTGGCTGCCCGCTCGCTGCAATCCGTGCGCTCGGAACTTGCTGAAGGATACCGCGCTGTCTCTGGCAACAGGCTGACGGAGGCACAAGCTACCTTCCGCTCTGTCCTCACCGCCCTTCTTTTGGTTGTGCTCTCGTCCGATGACGAGGCCAAGCTGGTGGGTGCAAACTTTTTGCTTGTTCTCATCATATTCTGATACAAACCTTTCATAACGTAGTGGCGAGATACTGTGACAGCCGCACGGGAGTACTTGCTTGGTGTCTCGATCGAGCTGGAGAGGCGACGCGTAGCAGAAGCTGAGCCCGACAACATCCGCCGTAACCTTGAGCTCGCCGCGTACTTTACACAATGCGAGCTGCAACCACCTCATATGCAGATTGCCCTGCGCAGTGCCACCAATGTCTTCGCCAAAGCCAATAACCAGGCGCATGCAGCACGATTTGCGAAGCGGCTCCTTGAACTCAAGCCGGATCCGAAAATCGTCGCGGTGGTGAGTGCTACCCCGTTGTTCATCTATTCTGAGATATCCTAACAATGTCGTTTGTACTACAGGCCCGCCAACGGATTGCAGCAGGCGACCGCAACCCGCGTAACGCAGTGGAGGTGTCCTACGACGAGTTTACACCGTTCGAGATCTGCGCCGCGACGTACACTCCGATATATAAGGGCTCGCTATCAGTGCACTGCCCGTACACGGACGCGTCGTACTTGCCGCAGTTCAAGGGCAGCCTTGACCCCCTTACTCAACTTACAGAGATCGGGGCGCCGGCAGCGGGATTGCCAGCGTCGTGGTGAGGACTGGAGTTGTGACATAACTTTTTATAATTGTTAGATTTGTTTCTGAGGCCAAAAAATAGCATTCTGGTATGGAAGACATTATGTAGGATGTTAGATCCTGATTGAGGTCTTCGAACTTCGAAGGGCGACTAGCTGGAGATGATCATGAGGTGGGAGATATAACTAGCGGTTAACCGGGAATCGAAGGGCAAAGCTTCACCGACTTTTAAGCTGCGCGAGGCCTCAAGTGACACAGTATCGATGGTGATGTCCACTAAGTACGGTACATTTGCTTGTTATAAGGAGCTAATAGGCTAATGGTGTATTTGACTCGGCGTCCAGCGATACTGAAAAGCTGATATCAATAACGCCGTTCCCGTGGTTGGAGACAAACCAAAGACAAACTCACGCTCTCAGATCTGAAGGACTGCCAAACAACCAGCATTTACGACAGCACCAGCAGCTGCATATCAGTAATATCCCGGTCATAATGTATCATGGCCTTATTACTTCAGTATGGATTCAGATGGGTGCGATTTTACGATTCCGCAGAAAACCCGTTGACTTAAAAACACAGCCAATTGACACCCTCAAATTCCTCAGCATCTAAGGAAATGGCTACCCCGCAGGATATTTCAAGGAATGGTTTCCGTAGCGGCACTGGTCAGTGGTCAGCGCTAGCAATGGTACTGAGTAAAATGATAGATGTGCGACCAAAAAAAAACTCTCTGCCTGGGAGTCGAACCCAGCTTTCGCGCGCACCGATTCTTTATACAGCTATGACAAGCGCGTGTACTAACCGATATACTAGCAAAGACTTCATCGCTGTTGCTACAAGGTGAAATAGACATGTAGGAACGTAATCAAAACTGGAAATGCTGAACCATACGAGTATCATTCCAGTCAACGGCCCCAATCTCTAGCTCAGCGAACACGTTCAGTATGCACATTCCGCACATGATCTGAATTTTGAGATAAAGTACTAGTAGAAGCAGTGAGCAACAAGTGGCGCCTCCTCAGGCTCAAAGTTGAACTGCCCAAAGCGGAGAACCGCGTTGGCGAGTCATGTGACGCGATAGCCTGATCGCGTCGAAATCTTGATTTGAACAACCGTGAACAGGGTGCCGCCGTCGTTTGGAATGGCGCACAACTACTACCAGCAGCCGCAATACTATCAACCGCAGAACATCTACCAGCAGCTTGGCACACAGCAGCCTCAAGGGAACCAGCAACAACAGCCCGTACAGCAGCAGTTGGCTCTAGGGCATGCCCAAGGGCAACAGCCGACACAATCATTGGTACAACAGCGTCTCCAGAGCTTTCAGCAGGCTGCGCACCCAGCATACCATGCTCAACATCCGGTAACGCATCCTGGACAACTACAGATTCAACAACGGCCACCAACAGTCCATCCGGGCCAGCAGCAGCTTGTGCAGTATCAGGCACGACCACCACCACCTCAGCAAGTGCAACCACTGCCGTCCCAGTACCCGTACACTCAACCACCGCCCACGCCTGCACCTGTATCGGTGCCGGTGCGTGCGTCGATATACAGCCAATGGCCCAACCCCCAGCAGCCCCAATACGTCACTCCACCGGTGGGAATGGCTCCTACACCTGCACCGCCACCTGTTGCACCAGCGCAGGCTCAGCGTCGACCACTTCCCCTGCCCGGGAAACGATCTGAATCGCTACCTCAACCCCGGCCTGGGTCAACCTCTCCCACCCGATCAAGACCACTGCCTGCACCTACGCCTGGCCCATCAGCATCCAATTCCAATCTCAATTCCAATGCGAAAGCGCGTCCCGAGCCACCCGCCAGTGCACCTACACCATGGGTCCGAACACCGAGCCCTGTGAAGACGAATAATATCATCCCCACTGAGCCACCCAAACGTGGTCGTGCCAGTCCACCCAAGTTCTCTGTCGTCGCGCTCTCATCCAACCTCGCCTCGGGAAACTCCTCTCCCTCCCCTCCCTCCTCCGTCTCGTCACTTTCCCCGGACTCATTCTCTGGCTCTCCTGGACCCCCTGCTCGCACTATCGGCACTGGTAGCCATAGTCCTAATTCGAATTCCACCGTGACATCACCAGGCAAGGGTAAAGGCACAAGCAACACCACCTTTGCCCCATCCCCATCGTTGTCCAAACTAAAATCCGAATTAGCTGGTACTAATCCTAGTACTGCACAACCCTCCAAAGCACCCGGACAAAAATTCGTTCCAGTGTGGAAACGCACCCTTCCCGATGTGCTCCCGCCGCTCCTCCCTACTCCTCCGCCGAATCCCACACAACAGCAGGCTCATCTCCAGCAGAAGCAACAGCCGCAGAGGCAGCCACAACCTCCGCAACCTCCTCCACAGACGACGCAGCGCCACCAATCGCAGCGACCTCCACAACAAGTGCAACACCAACAACCTTCACAGCCACCTCCTCCGCAACAAGTGCAGCGCCAACAGCCACAACCACAACCACCGCAACAGCATCACCAACGTCAACAACAACAGCAACAGAACCACCCTGCACCTCCCCACCGAAGTGTTATGCCCCCTCCCCCTCCTGTCCCCTCTCACTCCAAGCCAAAGGTCAACAAACCGCCGATCTATGGCCCTCCCGCCACTACATCCCAGCCCCAAGGTCCATGGACATACCATCACGAGCAGCACCCAGACAGCGACGAGGAAGATGACGACGAGGAAGAGGAAGAAGAAGATGACGAGGAGCAGACAGAGAACAGCTATGAATACTCTGATGAGTCCGATTCCGAAGCAGGTGCAGGAGTAGAACGCGAGCCTCCGAGCCCGCAATACGGCATCCGCGATCTCCCTGTGCGTGCATTCCCCAATCCGGGAGCGCTGCCACGCCCACCACCCATGGTGCGTGAGGGCCAGGTGGGGTATGATTCAAATTCCTCTGGTACGGGTCGATGGGAGGCGCGCGGCGGAGGGGAGGGCGGGCTGAGCATGACGATGCGCCTTGCGGCTGGTGGTAGCGGTGTGGCATCTGGATCCGGATCTGGATCGGCTGGACGGGAGAACTGGCAGACGGGAGGGCTCCCACGACCTCCCCAGATAGGGGGAAGTGGGAATGGGGGTAATGGGCGTGGATATGAGCTGGATCTAGACGATACGCCACCTCCGAGGTCGGCGTTCGTGATGCAGAGGGGGCGAGGTGCGGAGGAAGGGTCGGGGCAAGGGCAAGGGAGGAGGGCATTGCCGACACCTGGTGGGCGACCACAGGGCCCACCACAACCACCACCACCACAGCAGCAGCAGCAGCAGCGGGGAAGGCCGCAGTCGCAGATATATGCGCCTACTTCGACTTCGATGCGTGAGCAAGTCCCAGTGACGAGGCCGCAGTCGCAGATCTACCGTACACCTCTGCGGGATGAGTCTGGGGGGAGTGGAAGTGGAAGTGCCTTTCAAGCGCAGGCGCAAGGGTTGTCGCGTGCACGGTCTTTCGGACACGGCAGGGAGCTGCCGAAGGTACAAGAACAGCGACAGGGGTTCCAGCAGCCACAACAACTACTAAGGCAGCAGCAGGAGTTTGAGCACCACCAACAGCAGCAGCAGCCCCAGCAGCCCCAAGCGCGATTCAACCAAACCCCGTATCAACCTCAGCAGCACCAATCCACCCCGCCCCCTATGCCGCAGATCAACATCATCGAGTCGCCGGCACCCGTCGGCGGGCGGGATAAGCGCGCAGACATCGGGAAGATGGAGAGCGAGGGCGTGGTGGTGTCTGTTTCGTCCCCGGTGCATTCGCCGATACCTGTGCCGTTGATTAATATCGAGCTGGACGAGGATGAGGATGAGGTTCGGTTCGGGCGGGGTAGGGGCGGGGGCGGGGGCGGGCCGCAGATCAATGTGCAGGGTGTGCCTCAGATTAATGTCGAAGGTGTGCCGGAAATCAGCATAAGCGTCGCTGGGGATAGAGGCGGGGGTGGGAGGGGGCCGCCGAAGGTCAATGTGTATGAGGTGCCGGGGATCAGTGTGTCAGGCCCTATGGGCGGGCCTGAGATTAATGTCTCTGGACTACATCAGGGCCCTCATCAGCGTTCACAGGCGGCGCCGGTGAGGCGCGGGGGGCTTACGTGTGGCGGGTGCGGGAATGGGATCGTGGGGCGCATTGTGAATGCCATGGGGCAGAGGTGGCATCCGGGGTGTTTCAGGTGTGCGGTGTGCGATGAGTTGTTGGAGCATGTGAGTTCGTATGAGTGGGAGGGGAGGGCGTATTGTCACTTGGATTATCATGAGGTGAGTTGTCTGTGTTCTTTTAATCTCTTCACCTTTCTTTTCTTGGCTGGGGCTGGATTTTGAAATCGACTCGTCATGATAGCGAGATTCTTTACCCGTCTTCGATAAACCGCGTATACCCAAACTGACATGTTGCTGCAGAACTTCGCTCCTAAGTGTTACACTTGCAAGACGGCAATCATCGAGGAACGGTTTATAAGCTTAGATGACCCAGCGCTAGGCAAGCGCACGTATCACGAGCAGCACTTTTTCTGCGCCGAGTGCGGTGACCCCTTTCTTACACCTTCAGTCGGCGAGCCGTCTACACGAACTGGTCCGTTATTCTCCCTTTCCTCTCTCTGCCGAACTCGACGCTTATCCTCTTACGATGCAGGTGAGCTAAGCGTCACGGGAGACGGCGAGTACGCATCAGACGATGTGGGCTTCACGGTGTACCGCGGGCACCCGTACTGCGAGGCCTGCCACGTGCGTCTGCGCTTACCGAAGTGTAAGCGATGTAAACGCAGTATCCGCGATGGTGACCAGGCGGTTGAGGCACTTGGGGGAAAGTGGTGTTGGGCGTGTTTTGTGTGCAAGGTGCGCTCTTCTCGTTGTTGGTCTGATGGTGTCTGGTCTGATTCTGAGATTTGTGGTGCATAGGGATGTGAACGCCCGTTCGATGACCCTTCGTTCTTTGAGAGAGGGGATGAGCCGTATTGCGAGCGGTGCTTTAGCATTATTTTGCGGAATGAGCTTTAAGGATGCGCAATTTATGGTCCGTTGCGTTGCATGCTATCGTTTGCTCTGAGTATTACTATCTAGTTTTTTTTTCTTTGGCCTGTCATAGAAATTCAGGACTTCCCCGTAGTTCATTCATTTTTATTGCGTATTTGTCTATTTATTCTTCAGTTCCGTGTCTTGCTTGTAAACTATTCCTCCTAGTACGCCGTCGCTGTCACTTGTCGGAAACTGCTGGCACGAACACTGGGAGGAGCCAAGGCTGGATCTGACACCGAATATACAGCTGGATCCTGAGTTTCGATTTGAATAATTTGAGGTTTAGATGCTTGAACGACAGAAGGTATACCAGACCTCTTGACTGGATTTCAACCAGTGCTACGGAGCAGTGCCACTTTCGCGCCACCCCAGACATCCTTGATCTGACTTGATTGACTTGCAGGCTACACATGTAGCTGGCTTGGGAGCTCTATAGATGCCAGAGAGTAAGAGAAAAGAACCGGACAAAAATTCCCCAATTGGCCCATGTCATGTATGATAGTAAGCATGTTACTATCACATCGGGCGTCCGCTGTAGAAACAACAGCAAAGTACGAAGCTGATTGACTCAATATATAGTACATGCACGAAGCCGGAAGCTATACAATGATAATCGTTGTATAGGATGGATGGAGATAGATGCCAATCACGGCCAATAATCATCCAGTCCTGCAGGCATCTCAATGTGGCGCTGGTTTATGCTATCGAAGCTGCGAGATACTTGTCGACAACGCCTTGTGTGCGAGGATCAAATTCCAAGTATAGCAATAGGCGCGATCGGTCTGCTCGTAGGGCTCTTAGCATT